TGTCAAAACATAAAATAAACAGAAATTTAAATTAAAACTGGTTGAGAATTAAGTAGTTCATATAGCTAGGGCAAGGTAAATACTTGATCTCAGTCAATTCTGTCACAGAATGAACTGCAAGTTAATAATGATTTCTCCGTAACCAGTTACCCTATCTTACACAAACATTTTAAAAAGCAGTACTTGTCCATGTATGAGTTATTAAAAAACTTAATTCTTTCATATCTGAACATCATAATGACAGCCTTTTAATTTTCCAAGTCATATTTGTTCAATCTTCAACTTCATTTTACAAACTGTCTAACATATTAGTGTAACATAACCAAGATCAAATATACTTTTGAACCACTGGACTGATTATCAAGCCAAGTTATTTACAAATCATGTTTTTCCCTGGAATAATGGTATATAAAGATTTGTGTAGCCGAGTGTGAAAGTTCAGTATTTTGATAACAAACAAAACATATTCATGCAATAACTGTCTATGTCACATTTACCTCACTAAGCCAACAATTACATTATTCCAAAAACCATTCATCAGTTAACGCTGTCAACCAAAATAGAAACTCATCATAAGCGCTTCTTTGCTTGGTAAACAGTAGCATCTTTTCTGGTAGAATTTGAGCAAAAAATTGCTGTGGAAATTGTGATGCACAGACTACTTGAGATAGTTGAAAGAATAATTGCTTGTTACTTTGATGTAACTCAGCATAATATTAGGAAAATAAATATTATTTTCAACACTAACTGCACAAAGTGAACTGAAAGCTTACTACAAGGTCGACAAAGCAAAATAACATTCTCAAAAATAGTTAAAAAGCCAGTTTCACCAGAGTACTGGAGTTGATCACCATTAATTGAAGTTTAATAAATAATGTGGGCAGTTTTTTTAGTTCTCAAAATTAAATTTATAATTCAGTATAACCAAAAATTCCATTTCTTAAGAGAGTACATTAAAAAAAATTTAAATATACAAAAAAGGATAACTATTTGACACTTTCAACATGTAAGGATAAATTTAAACGAAAACAAATTATCCATAAGTTTTCCCTCTTCAATAAAATTCTCTCCAAAAACAACAACCTCACTTTTGGAGAAAGCAGCCACTCACGAAGGAAAAAGGATGTTGTTAAAATAATCTAAACAGACTTTTGGTTAAGAGAATTGGTTTATTAGTAATATTATAGTTATTATTAATAATAACACAAATACAAAAAATTCTAGCCAATCTTGACAAAAAAAATTCATCTTCTTTTGTAATATTGACTTTCCTTTTCTAAACTGCAACCTGCCCACATTCTGTTCTCTGACAAACAATTAACATTTAAATGATGGACTCGCTGATAAGACATCTTACAATTAGTAAATATATGAAGACAGCTTAAAAGCTGAATACAGAATATCAGTCCCCAGATATTCTCACGTTTTATCAATGTCTATTGACCAAGATAGATTTTAAATTATCTGAAGTTCTCAAATAATTTGGATAAACTTCTTTTTGACTTTTCTATGTACAACATGTATTTCCGTCACAAGGATAAAAATGTTTAAAGCATCAGGTAAATGTTTTACTTATCCCTTTTCATATAATGAAAAAATTCCAATGAATTCTTCAATAATTAAAAATATTTTCCTTAAAGCTTAAAGAAAATGTAAACATGATCTTGACAGCCTTGATATGTTCTTCATTTGTCAATAATTAGTTTTGCATAAATTTCTATGAATAAATAAAGTTTTAAGAAACAAATTAAAATTGTATCATCAATTTTTTTCGCTTTACATGTTTATGTGTATATCTTACAATTAATTAATATTACAATTGTTTTGTTTTTATATCAGCTTATCTCATCTGCAACATAAGGAGAATCAGCAACATGCTTTTGCACAACTTTCTGTCAATTATTTTAGTAATACTACAAACATGCAAGCTCATGCCAAAATATGCACCAACCTTGCACACATGAATACTTTGCATACATTCACACATACACCAAAGACACAACACTGATAAAATGATCAAATTGTGTTCCATATATCCTTTGAACATGTGTAAAAGTAGTCAATAAAATAATCCACATCCACAGTAGAACACATGTCCAAAAAGAGAGCCTTTTCACTGAAGAGAAAAAATCCAGGTCAAAGGAATTTTTGGGATGTTACCATATTTTATCTTCCAAGTTTATTAGAGACTTAAAAAGTAATCATTTTACTTTAATGGCATTATAAGTTGCTAATACAATATCAACATAAATACAATCTTCATTATATTTGATTTGTACTTTATTACAAAATAGCATACAAAATTCCTGCTTTTTCTTTTTATTCATATTTTAAAAAAATATTCTAATACTGCATAAACATTCTCCATAAAATCCATGCACAAATGTAACTAATATAATTTTAGAGGATCGAAAAAATGTGTAGAGTAAAATTCTTAAACTTTTCCTGACACTCCAGGATTTTCACAGACATTTCCTCATACCCAGAAGCGGCAACACAAAATCAAGAATTCTCAAGGGATTTGGAAATTAAATTTGAAAATAACATTATTTTCTCAAGCTTTGATAGCCTGTAAGAAAGTCTTTCAATCAAGTTTAGTTTGTCAGAGTAGAAGCATTCTGACAGCAAATAAATACTCTTTTTAAATAAGAAAGTGGACTGATGAATAACATACAGATTTCCAATTATTATTTAAGGACAAAGAGCGAATTTTCCAGATTTACTCAACAGAATGTTTCAAGTTGTGTTTATATTAATAAAAGCATATGTGTTGAAAACACAAAAGTAAGCGACTAATTTCCATACAACAAAAATTTCAAGAATAAGTAATAATTATCCTAATTCTAAACTGCATATCTATAATTAAAGATTTTATTTTAAAAATTATCCAAGTAATACTCAAATGAAAACAAACTTGAATGTAAAGAATGTTGATTTTTAGCTATTAACACACTTCACTATGTTTAAAATATGGATATGTGTTCTATAGTAAATGAGATTTTTAAAATGATCTTACAAAGGTGATCTTGTAGATAACAAGTAATTCAAAAAGAGCTGTTTTTCAGATTTTATGAAATGAGACACACTGCCTTTCCAGGGCAAACTCTCTCTAAATTCTTTAAAGGACATGAAATGAGTTTGAAAGAGGAGATGCAAGAGAACAATGCATGAGCCATTTTAAACAATGGGGAAGATAAATGAGCAAAAAATACATTAAATATGAGGCACATGATATCTAATGAACATTTTAGTTATACTCATAAATGGGCCATGTGAAATGCACTGAATCGAATTGTGAAAAATGACAGAAATTTGCAAAACTTGTTCGTAAATAATGTGAACATAATTAACTTACCATGAAATTCATTGGTGTCATGAGATTGTCTCAAAAATCACAATAAAAATAAGAATTCTACACAATTCCAAATTACGTGCCTTTGCAAATATATAATTTTTGCCTACTCAACGTAATGAATGTAGTAAGTAAAAATTTCAAACATTTATTATTTAACAATACATAATTATTACCATAAGTTAAGAATTATATATGTTTAGAACTAATTGACACATGGAATGACATTATACGAAGTACAATTATTGCAAATAGCAGAGGAAGGATTGTAATCAGTGTGAAAAAGGCACACAATTCATGGCCATAAAAAACAACAGCAAAGCAGTCATGTCTCAAAACTTAACAACTGTTTTATCAATTTCAGCCTTTGAAGGTAAAACCTATCCCGAAGTGTGTGTCACAAAGAAATGACATCACACATGTTCGCAACTCCAATCAACCACATGTTAACTTTCCATTTATACTCAAACTTCTAGGTCTCATGTGTTCTATCAATATATAATATATATTTTTTTTAAAAAGTCAACATGTTCCTTGGCTCGTTTGATGGAACACATTACCTAATAAAGTTCACCGGAAATGGCGCTACTTCCGATCCTTGGCTCGAGGGACCTTCGTGCCTTGTTGCCCTTGGCGAGAAGGTGACTGCGTTTTTGAAGAGCTGGATTACAAGAAGGCACTACACTTTGAAGTTTGCACAAGTTGCCATCTGACATTGCCACAATATGTCATTCAACTTATTGTCAATGCAAATTATTAACTAATTTTATTTTGTTTTTTATTATTAAAAAAAAATTCAGAATTCATACAATTGAAACAAAAAGGGAGAAAGCATAAATTGCATATTTATTCAAGAAGTAGAGTACATATTAGGCTCTGTCTTTGTGAAGCCTCCTTCATCCTCACCTCTGCTCAACACAGAACTTTCAGACAACCTCACAACCACTGTTCTTAAATATATTTCAATAAAAAAGGCAAAAAAAGAAACTGAAAGATTTCAAAAGTAATACTACTTGGTAAGCAATTCAAGAGGAGCTCATTAATTTACTATGAAGAAAAAGAACCTAATAATGAAATAAATACATTAAGTCTTACCCAATTTCAAAATAAATACAACTTACCCTGCTGGAGAATCAGCAGTTGGATGAAGCTGCATTGTCAATTCTCCTAACTTGTTGAATGCAGCTCCAGCAGCTGTAAAAATTTCTCCAACCTACAATATCCAAACACAATTCTTCAAAAATGTTTCTCAGAGGAACAATATCATTCAGTAGTACTTTAACAATATGTAAAACAATTTTTTTACCCATACAAACTTATGTTCTAATCCAATACTACTTTAGAGATTCATAAAGTCTTAAGTAAAGTAAAAGTTAAAATTTTCAAAGTAAATGAATTTCATACTTCCATAATACTGACGTTTATGAACTGGAAACTACTAATTAACTAAATTTATAAGTTACTATGAATAATAAACGCACACAAGACTGTAACATTTTGGGTTTAACAAACAAAATATTGAAGTACGATTCAAAAAGTATTGAAAGATATCATGTTCGATGAATACTATACTAGAGTTAAGTACAAAAGAAAATAAAGGCAAACATGACGCAAAATTATAATTACAAAAATACAAGTAATCACCTACCTTACTAGCGGAATTCATGTTTGAAAATATATTTAAAAAGGTATTTTGGAGAAAACACAATATTGTACAGCATCAATTAACAAGCGCCTAGGGAAATGTATTAAATTTCTGAAGCAGGCGCTTACCGCGGGAAAATTATTAGTTATTATCTGAACATTATCAACATCACCCTACTTCACTCGCACCTCTGCACACCTCTCTGCATCACACGCTGATCACACACAAGACCAAACTACACGCAAATATCAATACAGACAGAATACAATGTCAATATCATATATTATATACTCTTTGGTCAACCAATATCGGTATTACCGACTGAAAAAGTTCTACAAATTCTCTGGTACAATCCCAACCAATTCAAATATCGATTATACTTATGTTCAAAAGTCAGTAAGAAGCAGGTCGCTAAACTCTGGTGGTGGGAATATGTATTAATGCAGTTCGGTTTTTATTATGTGGCGCGTAAAGGTCTATATTCACGATGGAATATCTCACGTCATTTCACGTCTTTCTCGGTCGTGCCGCTAGACACAAGTCACTGTTTGATACGATCGTGACAATAAGGCATATAGTGGCACGACCGAGAAAGACGCGAAATGCCGTGAGATATTCCATCATCGTGAAGGTAGACCATGACGCGCCACGTTATCAAAATTCAAGTATTTGTTAAGACAGAGCCGATAGCTAATCAGCCACTCTTGTAGTTTAGCGACATCACGCAGCGGATGAACAAACCTTTAATGATATTTTTAGGCTAATGGCAATCCAGCTCATGCTTCATATAAGGATTTTAATCGTGCTTTGGTCCCTAGAATTTTCAATATGGCGAACATTCGGTCCTGACAACTTCGAAATTGTACATAAGACTGCGCTTTGGCGCTACATTCAAATAATCCAATTCACGAACTTCTCTCATTATAACGTTAATTTTAATCCACTGAATGTTTTGAAGCAATTAAATAATTAACATTTAGATCAATTATTTGGATGATTTTCTCCTGAAACTCATAATTCTGACATATGAGAAATTTAATGTTTAACTTCAAGTATAATTAGCAGACTTTGAAGAATAAATTTCATTCTTACAAAGATTGTTAATTATTGATAAGTATATAGAATGAATGAAAGAAAAGTGTCGATTCGCTGAGATATTCAATACGTACACATCATTTCGGCAGTATTTCCATGTACCGAAGTGAAGCCTACTGATTTTTTCTAATGGTAACAAATGGCATCTATTACTCAAAGGTTAGTTAATACTATATTTTTTGCCCGGAATTGCTTTTCTTGAGGTACGTAAGAACGCAGAAAATAATCAAATACATTTTAGGTTACAAATAATATATCAATTTTCGGACCCCAGAAAGCTGGCCCCCTGCTCTTCTAAAACCCTTTCTGTTCCTTATAACAAATCCAGAAAAGTTAAATACCATTGCGAAGAGTGGGGGAGTAGTTACCCTACACTGTATTTTCGCATGGACAACTTTTCTTGGCTTTCAGTAAAAACCTATTATTATTGTGACTATCAAGGAAAGTGAAAAGCTAACTGTCAAGGAATAGTGAATAATTACTTCAAATGTTTTTAAGGAAGTGTGAATTGTTCCAAGGACATCTCTCTATTATACTGAACATACCTTTATTAAAAATTTATTTTTACATCATTTGCATTGTTTTTCATTATATTATGTATATTAGATGTTACATCTATATATTTTTTTAAATAAACTCGTTTTATTAACAACTTGTCTTGTTAATGGAAAGGATGGGGATTCACATGCGAGAGTTCTCGCACTGGTAGAATAATGATGACGATACTATTCTGCTCCCCTTCATGGCAACTACTGTAAAGTAGGTATGATTAGCAGCGGGTGGATTTTAATGAAATGTCATTTTTTATTTTCACTTTAGAACAATGTCGTTTAGTATAGAAATTCATTTTATGTTACGACGAAATGAAATGACCGATTTTGATAGGTCATTTTCTACTCGTAACGTTTGACGCTTACGTGCAAGAAATGTTATTTGCACCTTGCTAATGGTTTACGGCACTTTAACACTCTGGTGTCGGTCTAGAAAACTCTTTCGATTCACGTCCGTCCGCACAAACTCGTTTTTTTTTTTTTTTTTTTTTTTTTTTTTTTTTTTTTTTTCCTCGCCGCAGACTCAATTACGCAAACTATTTCATTTATTATACAAGCAATCGAATATGCTTGAAAAGTTCCAATTCACCGTGGTTTAACCACTCTGCTAATGGTTTCCACGTAATCTTTTTCATTAAATGGCTGATTGATGCAGTTTCTACGTGAACAGCAAAATTCAAATTACGTATCGTACTAACAACATGGCGTCTCTTTAGAGCAAACTAATCACTCGGTGGCTCATACAAGAAGGACTTTGCTTTCTGCTGTTCTCCACAGCATTTATGTGGCATTTAATGAAGCGTGACGTCATGCCCCTCCAGGACTGCCCCGGCAAGTGTACCAACGCCTGAAAGCCGGTCGTTCTGTTGGGGTCAGCGGATACGAGAGAAAACAACGAAAATAAGCTCTTAAGACAATTTTAAGCATACAAAACGAGTGGTACTAGAAAATAATATACTTTCTCACGTTGATCTATATGCTCCGCAATATTATACTACATAAACCGTCAAAAGTGTTTTCAACAATCAATTTTTTTCTGCTCCGAGACTCGAACTCAGATCCTTAGTTTTAACTTGCCGATACTCATACCATTACGACACAATTGTTTCGATCTCGGTCAGAGGCATAAAAAGGTAAAACGACGTGTAAAACCCTACAACAATCAAAATATCCGTTAGAAACGCCCAAAGCCTCCAGTGCGTTCAGATCGATCAGCAAATATCAATTTTAAAGATGTAGATTTACATTTATTCACTCAAAAAAAAAAAAAGTCTTGAGTTCCACAATTCCTTCACGTCATTTTAACTATAAATAGTCAGAGTAAAAGTTTAACGTAAATAACTACAAATAAATTTTAAAAATCGTAAGATTAGCAATATTTGAAAAATTGTCATTTTTGTTTCTGAGTTGTAGAAAACTTATCGGTACACGAATTGTAAGTATGATTTTTCTGCATTGCTAACAAAATAGCAACTCGCCCTTACCTCTACTCTTACCATTACAAGCAAAAGGAGATATCAAATAAACGTGCGCATAGTGAAGCTACATTTACGTCCAGAAGAGAAACAAGGGGCCATCTTAGCATTTGCTCAATGGATCAGAGAAACTGGACAAAAACCTGATCGAGATTGGGGTCATTGACCCGGAAGCTTAAGTACATTGTTACAAACAGTTTAAGTCTTTTAAAAAATATACAATACAAATGTAAACTAATTCATTATATATCACTGTTTTGTTAAAATAAACATTAGTTTTCTTTTTTATGCCTATAGTCTCTATACTATAGAAACAGTTATGCAGCAGAAAAGAAAATTCTTTTAACTTAAATTTGTGAGAAATTTTGAGAAAATAAGCTGAATGGTTTGGGCGCTACAGTTGTCCACAGACGGACTGATAGCTGATAGGTTAATAGGTTGGTTGATTGATTAATGGTGATTCCTATGTTTCGCGAAAAATTATACGAAAACTACTCATATTTTCAAAAAATTGAACATGAACTTATTTAAATATTCGTCTTTAAGAAACAGATTTTATTAAAGAAAAAATCTCTATCTTCAATATTACAATTAGGAAGACGTCGCCAGAAATTTCACTTTTTCAACTTTCACAAAAATATTGCAATTTGCAACTGCAATTGGCAATTTTAGGCAAGCATAAAGGACGCTGAAGATAATGGTGCAGGTCAAATTTTCATTAAAATCTCTGATTGTTTTGAAAATTGCAAAAATTTAACCAATTGTGTCTTCTTCCCTTAATGAAATGTGTAAAAAAGAAAAGTCTTCAAATAAGGTCATGTTCAATTTTTCTAAAATATACGTATTTTTACCTTAAATTACGTAAAAATATGCATTTTTAAAAATATTTATGGCAAGAATTGCGGAGAAGCAATTGGCAAGAAGGAGAAAATGTGTGCCCATTGTTGGCAGTGCCCATCGCTGGATTGTTCCCTGAGCTCACTGACTGAGATGTGTTTAAAGACAGAAATTGCAGTATAATATGTAACTGTTACTGAGGATAAGTTAAATTTGTTTTAGCACCACTAGTTTGTATTGCTTTTCAGCATTTATTGAAATAGCAACGTTATTGGTGAATTGGCAAAGCAGAGTAATTAAAGTGATAATATTGGGTATCATATCAGTTGCAACAACATACGCTATATCAATAATCCACGTAGTATAACATTTAAAAAATGTACCTTTAAAAATCTTTATAATTCATTTTTCATTTCTTCATAAATGATTCATTTTTCTCTGAGATAGCTACATAATGTATAATGAAACCCGCATTGCTCCTGAGATTAAATACGTAATTCATATTCCTGGGAAAGCATAATTAATTTTGTTTTCTATTGACTGAAGTTTCCTTTGCCCCTTCCCGTACTTGCGATTAGAATGCAACTGTTTTACAATAACAAAAGCGAAGGCTTCATTTGAAACGACAACCAGTTGACAAATAGTGATACCATACCGAGTCAGTCAGTTGCAGACAGCAGCTACCGCGAATCTGTAGTTTCTTCTGGCCTGTCTACCTTCTGAAGTGAGTGCAAACTTGAAGTAGATTATGGCTACAAGCAAAGGAAGTGATGATGAAGAAAGCAGTTCTCGTAAATTTAAGGTAAACCTATAATTATGTTTATGGAACTTGTGTATTAATCGTGACACAAAACGTAAGAATTGTTAAGAGCTCTCCAGTTTGAGTTCATTTGCAAAGTATAATTGCCATGAAATTGAAACTCCTTAATTCGGAAAGAAATGAATATTGTAATATACTCTAGTAACCGCAGCAAACATGTATTTTGTTGCAATTATTTGTCACTTAAAAACGAATTAGAATGTTTTTCGGAAATAAGATAAAAGTATCTTATTAAATTCGCTCTCAATAAATAAGTTAGACCTTCTAGAATAGGTGAACTTCAAGTATAACCAAACATATTTTCTAATCAACAGTTAACACGCATTTATATTTTATATTACTGTCTTTTAACATTTGTTTACAATTTTGTGTTTTCCGGCGTTGCCATGGCAACATTTCAGCTGTCAGATCGTTATTTGAAGACCTTCCTGGCTTAGCAGCGTTGAATGGAGAAAACACTGAAAGAAGTGGATTCATTACCGGGAAAAACGAACGCCAATTGCTCACAATTATTCATTTTCTTCTGCCTTTTATTGTTTTAATGGAGTAGCTGTACTTTACTTTTCTACTGCATCTCGAGTTTTAAAATCTTTGACAACTATCGGGAAGCACACTATCCACGGAAAGGGAAATTAAACACTTTCAATCATAAAGTAATATGATCAGCGTCAATCATAAAGGCCTATATAATATAAAATCAATTTTAAAAAAGAAATCACATGCATATCCTTTACATACACACTCCAGAAAGTTTATTTTCTTTTTATACCTGACAGTCTCAACCAAGTTTGTAATATATACAATAATATAACTATTAATACAAATATACAACAATACAATACAACATATAACTATTAATATAAATTATTGAAAAATAAGTTTAATAATCTACATGTTTTGTTACAACAAAAATAATTAACTGATTTATGCATTTCAGTATCCATTCCCAATCATTATTATTTTTTTTGGCAATACTAATGTCAAATACACCAATTGATAAATGCTATCTATATTATCTATTACATAGTTAACATATTGGTATTTCAGGTAGCTTCATCATCATTATATGATGAAAGCATTGATGTTACTGATGCAGAAGAGGTTAAAAGTCCCACAACCACTAGTAAACGACTTCCTGAATCATTTAGTATTATAGATACTCCTCCAGCATCACCTGGAAGCAACCCTGAAATCATTAGCTCAAATGAGGTTAACAATGCAAATTATACCAATAAATCATTTCTGCATGCATTTTGAATTAGAATATTAGACACTAAACTTCCCCATACAGTCTTCTTTAAAACTCTTAATTTTAGGCTATTGCAAGTACATCCAACGCTCCTGCTATTCTTGCAATTGAACACTCCATCCCTCCAATGCCTACCTCACGAAGAGTAATGCAGTCTGGTTCTGATCTGTCAGATAATACTGAAGAAGACGACGATGATGATGATGTGCAAGCAGCCACATTAGAAGGGTTACTAATATTTTTAATACATTTTTTTTTTTATAATGCTAAGATATGAAGAATAGTAGGGAAAACATTAGGTTTTTCTTCCACAGAACTTATGATCCTGCTGAATTTGATCATCTTCCAGTTGCAGCAGACATCAAGGAGCTTTTCCAGCATATAACTCGGTAAGGCTGTTACTGTCAGCTAACATAACATTGACAAGTTGTAAGTGACTTGTGCATTGCAGTTTTCTAAATGTGTAATTATTAAATCATTTGATTAATGGCACTTAAAGAGTAAAGTATGCACTCACTATTTTGTAATAGTCACAAATTTAAACATTCCAATATTTGACATTAAGTTAAAACTTCACTAATACACTTTCTTTAAACATTCACGCAAACATTGGTAATTGAAAAAATTAGTGATAAGCCTAGTTGACTAAAACTAGACTACTTAACAAGTACGATTGAAAAGTCAATAAAAGTGAGATTATTCAAAATGCAGTACCAAATTTTATGTTGACATTTGAATCTTTTGAAGTGAATGAGAATGAAAAGTTTCCTTACAAATTAATAGCAAAAGATTCAAAAGAATTTTTAACAGCCAGTTTATTTCCCAAGATCAAATTACAGTACATGTATGCATTTCCTACAGCTCCTCTACCATATATTCATGTGCAGTTAGAAGTCTTTTCATTGCCATTCCTTTTGTAATGTTAATCTGTGTGCTTGAATCTTAAGAGGCAAATCAATTTTGTTTTTCAGATAAGCTGAATGATTTTTAATATTTGTCTATCAAAAATATGTAAATATTCCCTTAAAGCTTTCATTTAAAACCAGAAAAACATTTTATTCAGCACATTTTTCTTCATAATTCAACTGTAATTAGCAGGCACACCCAGAGAAAAAAAAGCATGGAGCAAAAATTCCACAGAGGCTCTCTATTCCAAACAAGTTTCTCATAATTCACATTCCTCATTACCTTTGATTTAGAAGTTAAGGTCTAAATCTTCTGAACTTTCATAAGTGGTTAGTTTGAATTAGAAGTAAATACATTTTTATACATATTTTGACCATCAAAATTTTCGGTGAGTGGGGAAAGATGCCAAGTTGCCCCCTCCCCCCTCTGGGTACCATTGGTTATTAGTACACTATACTGGAACCAATTTTGATATGTTTCTTGAAAGTTGTATTAGTCTATCAGATACCTGAACTTGCCAGGCAAAAAAATTGAACTGTACATCTTCATTGTTTTGATTTATTTGTAATATTAAGAGACTGAATTACACTTCAGTATTGAATTAGTATATTCTATTTGAAATACTAGTTTATTTTCTACTACAACTAGAAACAATCTGAGAACATTTTCCACAAGAAATAAATAAACCAAAAAACATTACCGATTTTGGAGTAACTTATTGAATAATGAATGTTTCAACACATTAGAAGTAACACAGAAGCTTAAAATTTTTAATATTAGTCAAAATTGTATTCTTACATGATATTTTGAAGTGAATGTTTGTGCAAATCTCAAATTGATTGTTGCTGGTTTAATTCCAGATACACTCCTCAAAATATTGAACTTGAGTACAAACTTAAGCCATTTATCCCAGACTTCATCCCAGCTGTGGGAGATATTGATGCATTTCTTAAGATTTCTCGGCCTGATGGCAAAGATGACAATATTGGCCTGTTTGTTTTGGATGAACCATGTGCAAACCAGAGTGAACCAGCAGTTTTACATCTACAACTGAGAGCAGTTGCAAAACAATCTTCAGCAAAAACAGTTGTCAGTTCTACCTTTGTAAACTCATTTACTTGAACGTAATAGAGTATTATATCTTGATGTATTCACGAAACATTTCAACAGGTGGTGAAGAAAGTAGAAAGTGCTGAGAAGCAAACAAAGTCTATAGATCGATGGATCAAAGACATAAGTGATCTTCATCGCAGTAAGCCGCCTCCTACGGTTCATTATACAAAGTATGTTATTTTTAATCAGAAAACCATTTTAGATATATTGTTGATTCTTGGTAATTGTACTAATTAGTTCAGTGGCACATCACATTTCATTTCTTTCTTTATGCTATGTTGATAAAAGAATGCTTGTTACCAGGCCCATGCCAGACATTGACAACTTGATGCAAGAATGGCCAGGAGAATGTGAGCAACGGCTTAGAGAATTAGGTCTCCCATCACCTGACCTTGACTGTGATTTGTCTAAATACGTAGACATTATTTGCAGTGAGTATAATATTATATACAACCATTACAATTAACATTCAGAAGAAATATAACTACATCATGATACTCTTCTTTACAGGTATATTTGATATTCCATTATATGAATCACGAATCCAGTCTCTTCACGTACTTTTTGCATTATATTCAGCTATTAAAAATTCACAATATTTCAATAATACAATTGACAGCATTACAGAATCTCAAAACTGAAGTATCTTTGCAATTAGAGGAATATGTGAAATAAATTTTACAACATAAACCATGTCTGTGACAAATCATGACAATGGATGTTCATAGTTGTAAAAGTTCCCTTGGCTAATAAATACTGCAAAAAACTTTATGTGAAAATTAGCATTCATCATTATTGTATTTTAAACATAATTAAAACTTTCTGAAGAATCTCTGAAAATTTTGTTCAACCTTCACAGTTACTGTATGATGATGGATGGATACTAAGATGTGGGAATAATCGATTGGGAAAATTGATTCCTATTTTGTCTTGTAAAAAAGACATGCTACTACAACTCAGCACTAACTGCCAAAACTTTTCTAATAATTCTGCGAAATTATAACAACTTTCTTGAAAGCTATTTATTAGGTACCCTACCAATATATTTTCAACCATCTTTTACAATCCTCTTCTTCAAATGTTAGCACTAGTTATACTGGGTTCAAGCTGTTTCAAGCCAAAAAATATGAATGCCAAATACTTGATGTGTTCTAAAATATATTTCACATAGAAAATTGTACTTTAGCCAGCACATTCACCAATAATTCAAGCTGATCAATACTTAATCTGTATATCTGAATAATGAAATAGGTGTTTTGAGTTTAAGTCAGTTCATTATATCAAACATTGCATATAAAAAAATTGACTTTTTGCAATTTTAAAAAAAATCAAGAATTTTAGCAAACATTAGCCAGGCATCATTCTCTTAAATGTCCTTCACACTATCCAACTAATAAATAACAAATGTAACTCAAACTTCATTTCATATAATTCGATCCTAAAAAAAGTAATCAAACAAGCAAAAATTATAACAAATGATAAGTACATTGCAAATGTACGTAATGAAACAAAAGCTATGTGGGACATTATTAAAAGGACTACAGCACTAACTAATAATAACAGAAAAAACATAGAGCTCCACTACAAAAACTAAACTGTACAAGACCCACAAGAAATAGCCGATATATTCAGTGAACACTTTTCACAAATTAATAATAAGTTAATCTTTCAACACTATCTAAACAATAAAACACACCAACCAAACACAAATATAACACAAATTGTAAATTCTATATTTTTATATGAAACTACCCCCTCTGAAATTTTTAAAATCATTGGACAAATGGAGAATAAATTCTCAGCAGGCATGGACAACATTCCAGATTTTCTTATTAAACACAGTGCTCCATGTACAGTGACACCACTCTTTCACATCTGCCATTACTCTCTAAAATCAGTCATATTCCCAGAAATATTCAAAACAGCAAAAATTAAACCATTGTTTAAAAAGGGCAATAGTTATGATTCAATGAATTACAGACCTATCTCCCTGTTATCAGGATTTTCAAAAATTCTGGAAAGGCTTTTTAATGATAGACTCAAACAGTTTCTCAATGCAAATAATGTCCTTACAAATGCACAACATGGCTTCAGGAGTAATACATCCACAGACACCCCAGCCATCTCCTCCTTTTTAAATGACATACTTGCTGCACTAAATCAGAAGGTAATTCCCATTGGCCTTTTCTCAGATTTGTCAAAAGCCTTTGCCATTATTCACCATCATATACTTAATACACCATAATAAAACTAGAAATGCTAGGGATTCGAGTCATTGCAGGCCAATAGATCAAATCATTTTTAGCCAAATAGTTGCCCTCCAGCACACTAAAGAACACAAAATTTCCTCATACTATTCCTGCCCTCAAATGATAAATTGTGGAGTCCCGCAAGGATCCATCCTTGGGCCAATACTATTCCTTATATACATAAATGACATGCCTTTGACTTTAAGGAATAACAAAATAATTTTGTTTGCAGATGACACAAACAATCATCAAAGCAAAAACAATCATTAGAAAAAGAAACTCACAAAACTTTGCTAGCACTAGTAAAATGGTTTCAAGAGAACAAACTCATCATAAACACCAAGAAGACAGTCTCTAAATTTCATGAATCCCCGATCTAAAGAAAATCTTTCACACCATTTGCTCACAAACAATAACCCTATAACGATATCTCATGAAACTACCTTCCCCCGTCTAACAATTCAAGAAAACTAAAATGGAATGCTCACATCTCAAATCTTAACAAGAGCTCACCAAATCTTGCTATACCCTATACATCCTTAGGTCAAGCTCCAATATTGAGACACTTCGAACAATGTATTTTGCAAATGTGCACTCACACCTAAAATATGGAATAATATTCTGGAGAAATGCCCCTGAAAACACTCGTACATTTATTATCCGATAAAGAATACTGCGAACAATGACCAGCACTCATAAGCTGGAGTCTTGAAAACTCTTGTTCAATAAACTAAGGATTTTTCCTCTACCATGCATGTATATATTTGAAAAAGTGGTCTTCACAAAGAAAATTCTCGTGGAAAACAAAGACACTTTTACATTAAATACTGATGTACACTACTACAATACCCGTCAAAAGGATAACGTAGATGTTCCCCACTCAAACTAGACTATATCAGAAAAGTGCCCTAATAGAGGGCATTACACTTTACAACAAACTAAGCAATAATATTGAAGACAAATACAATTCATACATTTAAAAGTAAATTAAAAGCTTTCCTGCTTAACAACATGTTCTACAGTGTAAAAGAGTATTCAAATTACATCATCATTTCCCTTAAAAAATATAAATAAATAAGAATTTCTTATCCCATTATAGACTGTTTCACATTAACTGTTTCGGGCTGAAGCAAAGAAAAAAGAACTGGCTTATCGCATGCTGTGAAGTAGAAGGAGAATGCCTGACAAAAACAAAAAAAAGTTCTGTTTCTCTCCGGATTCACTAGACGCATTAGGTGCTGCAGTAGGACTACGTGTACAAATTGAAAGAAGATAAAAGACATACTGTTCAAAATTTGCCACCTCCTTTTCACTATTTCAAGTTTTAAAAATAAAATGTACTAATATTGTTAAGTTTTATGTAGTTGCTGACAGATTTGATTATGGATTGTTTTAATATTATTATAAGCAATAGTTTTAAAATAACATCTTGAAATGTTAAATTATCTGCTACTAAAAATAATTATTTACTCTATAATACCCTAATCTATCTGTAGCATTATTGTAGTATAAATTCTGGGCCAATGACCCCATCTCGATCAGGTTTTGTTCAGTTTCCCTGGTTCCTTGAGCAAATGCTTAGATGGCTCCTTGTTTGCTCCTGAAAAGTAATGTAACTTTGCTCTCTCCAACCAAGACATAATTTTGAATCGTCATACACAATTGTAATTGTACATGTGACTCAATAAATGTTGTTATTATTATTATGCACATGCAAGCTGCTACCTATCGGCTCCTGAAACACTTTTTCTCAAATTTTCTGAAATCGAAATATAATTTTAAGAATATTGTATAAGTATAAAACCAGTTTCTGTATGCAAATTTTCACTGAAAAATGTTGAGTCGTTTTTGAGAAAATGCTGACTATCTTTAACATTTAACTGTGCCTCCAAACATGCAATTTTGAGCGATTTTTCACAGAAAATGTTTGAGTTTCTGAGAAACTTCATAAGAAATCATTTGAACTATTTGCACTCAAAAATGCAATAACATATAAATATTCATGATGTGAATGATATATCTAAATAATTTTATATGTGTAATTTTTGAAAAATGAAAATAATGCATCAATTGTGTTTATGTCATGTTATTCATTGCATTTCCTACAGCAATTACATGGCAATTGTGAGGGAGCTTAGTCAAGCCATGAATACAAATATAGGAAATTGATATAAAAAAAAATATTATTTCATACTTAAAAAAGTAATCTTCACTTCTTCCTTTGCAATAAGCAAAGAAATTACAAACATTGTATTAATTTTCACAATACAAATTATTCTCTGAATGAAAAATCAATTGTTTGTAACATTAATCTCTATTTGTTTTTAAATATTCTATATAAAAAAAGCTTCCTGAGAAGAAAATGTCTTTATTTGTACATTAGTAAACATTATTATATTAAATTATGTAACAAATTAAAAAATTGCAAATATCACAAATTTTGGGAGCATTTTTACAAAACACTAATTAATTAGAAAGGTTTAACCTTTAAAGGAATCAACAGATAACAAATGTAATAACATATACACAACAATAGCCAGAATGTAACAAAAATAATAAATAGGTTTCCTCTTTTAATAATATGAAATTTTCAGGAATCAACATTGATGTATATTTTACAGACTACTGTGTAATTAATAACAAATAATTTCTAAAAAATATCAAAGTACTATGATAAATTTTATTAAACTCTAATTTAATTCAATATTGTTTTTCACATAGTGCAATACTTTTTGTTTCCCAATTTTCTCTGAATTTGTATCACTGTCTCATTGTTAAGACTGCAAAACGATTACATGGATCCTCAAAATCTGTATCAACAGGGTTTTCTGCATCTATGAAATTTTCCTCATGCTCACTTGAAGCATTTGTGTTTTTTTCTATTCTGCGGGGCAATTTTTTCTTCCGTGTTTTTTTCTTTATATGTTCTGCTGATTGTACATTGGGGATCAAGCACTTTATTTCTTGGCTAAGAAATTTGAATAGTGCTAAGACAGATGGTGCAGTAGATAATAAATGAGATAGGTATTCAACAGCATCTGTTCGATGTTTCAGATTGTTATACATATTATAAGCAAATGTACCAGAAAATGCTCTGAAACTAATACAATGAGGTAATGGGTATTCTAATAAAGAATTAAGATATGAGAAATGCAACAAACAACTCTGAAACTGTGCAAACGTATGTACAATTGAAACACAAAATAACTTGGGTCGAGTCTTCAATTTCTCTTCCACAAGACACAAAGGACGCAATATTTTCTTCACAAAACTACATTCTTCTGGATTCACATGTTCAAGTGCCTCAACTACATTATTAGTACTTATTTTCACTTCTTCATTACAAATACTTTCAGTATCACAAATATCTTGTACATTTCCTCTTCTAAATTCAGTATCCACTACTTGATTTGAAAACATGTTTTCAGACAATTCTTCATTTGTTCTGTTACCCATCATCAATGCACATGTGAACAGCACATTACAATTGTGACCTGATCTCGCCTTCTTAACCATATTTTTCTGTTTCCTTCTACTCTTTTTTGTTGAACCTAAACATATTACATTCTTAGATACAACATCAAGGAGTATCAAGGAAAGAAGTACAGCATTAATATGTGAACTATTCACTGGTGGTTCTTTGGCCTGTGTTGCCCAGAACACTAAAGCAACAATGTAGAGTTGCCATGATTCAGGAAGAGAGGATATTCTCTTTTGGTCAATTAAATTTAAACCAGCTACTTCTAATAAAATTGATAATCTCTGTGCTATGGATAATCTGGGTAACTCATTTAAGGAAAATTTTATACTTAATGTCTCAAAAATTGGTTTAACCTCAATGCAATGATTTGGTGAATGATGTTTACGAATTTGACATCTAAGAGGCTTCACATATTCACAACTAACAAGGAGTCCATATATGACAGCAATAATTTTTAATGAAATAATATGAGAACTGGGATAATTATAGTCTTCAACTTGAGGTGGGAGAAAGTAAATGTTATGAATAGCCATATCCAAAAACGCAGATGGAAGAGTACCCTTTCTGAATCTGTCATGAAACCATGAAGGTAAAGTACAAGCCTTTCTCATTTCCCATGAACAAATTATTTCCTGTTGCTCACCAGTAGTCTCAGATTGTTCTTCATTATATTCATCATTGAATTCAGATCCATCACTCTCACTTGAAATATCATTGCTGCTGCAAGTGTCGTCGTCTCTATTTTCTGAATCTGAATCTCCTCTCAGGCAGTCGTCACTCAAACCTTGATCCTCCCAAATGTTCATCACATGCTTTTTATCATCCGTTAATTCCATGTCAAGAGAGGAAACATCAATTCCTAGATATGGTAGAAGTTCACTGGAGTCTTGTACATACATGGAAATTATTTTTTTGATTTGAAACTTCAGACCTTCCTTTTTGTGCTTCTTCAAACATCCTATGACCTTTAAAAACAAAACAAAAGTGCTCACAATAATTGATGTATTCACAAACATTAATACTCACTTGCATATATGTCTACTGCATGTACCTTTGATTTTGCCGATTCTAGAGTCTCATTCCTCAACCATTCAAGTAAACTTGCAATTCTTCGCTGTCGTTTATTTGTCACACGTCCCGTTTTTCTCTTCAATTTGCTGACAAAATATTTGTATACTCTATTTCCAATATAGTCACAACCCAACATAATAGAAAGAAATGGTAATATTTCCTTCTGAAGACCACCATATCGTTTCAAAAAGTTTTCTACTCGATAGAGGCTACAACTCATATAATATGTTGCATCTGTTGACTGAGAAGACTTATCTGAACATGGATTCAGATACAAAGTTGGAAAAGGAATGTACAGTACATCATATACAAAGAAATCTGAGTCATAACTAAGCACAGGGCATTTTAAACGTCTTGCTATTGCAGCTATCTCCGAATCAGCTTCAAACAAACTTTGTGCAAATGAGATTTGCAATTCTCTAAGAACATCCTTCACAACTTCTTTCAGAAAGCATGGAAAAACAGAATTTTTACATGAAGACATTGGAGTTACATCCCTAGCAACAAACCATTTTTGTCTTATTCTTGAAAATGCTGTTTTTAGTTTTCTTATTTCATAGCCTCCATCAAAAATAACTAAAGGAATAACTTTACACTTTTTTAGGGCATCAAAGAATTCAATCACAGAGGCAGCAAAACGATTATAATCCCCACCAAAAGCACTGTTAAATGTTGATGAACTTGAGTACAACTGACAAGCAAAACTATTACCATCAATCACTAAATAACAATCTTTTAATTCATGATCTTCTAAATATTTACTCGAGTTATGAGCTATGAATGTAGCTAATCCTCTAATACCCATTGTAAAAGAAAAAAAATGGGTTCCTTTTTTACTCTGACTTTGATAATGATCCAGATTACCTATCACGCAAAACGCCAGCTCCAGCTTGACCTGACCTCGCCACGACCACTCACGAATCACCTGAAGTCAACTATGAACCATGGTGTAAATAACCCATATGATGTTATTTACAACATTCTATAAAAATGCCATGATAAGGAGCATGCCAAAGCATACTACGAGTTTGACTCAACTACGAATATACAAAATCATACTGCTCTGTGTTGTGTTCTGGTTGTATTAGGTAATTCGTTCGTCCATTGTTCACAGTAGTTCACGTCTCAGTGAAGGCAACTTGACTGTAAGAAAGGGGGTGGGAGTTGGCGCACGATTTGTATCGTGTTCATTTATATCCACTTAAAAAAAATATTCAAAAATCATGTCAACTCACCTTTAGTTGAACTCGCGATTACTGTAAAATTTCTGTTGCAATGATATTCAAAATGAGAGGCGCATAGTTTACAAGTTCGCCAAATAATTTTTTGTTTTTCAAATTTTCAATGATCACCAAACTGGGGAAACAACAGCAATAAACTGAAAATATTTTGAGATGTACTAATAGTGTCCTACAATATAAAATAGGTTATGACCGATTCTGATGTGTATTATTGGGGCTCATGCCCGGTATGCAAAAGAAATGATTCGTTAAAAGTATGTGGACGATGTAAATTAATTTTCTATTGTTCTAAAGAGCATCAAAAAATTAACTGGCGTATTCATAAAGATGTTTGCAACAGTGTTCATCACATGTTAGTCACCTGGAAAATACAAAGTGTATTCAGCAACGCTTACAAGTGTAACAGTAGTATGATTGAATGGAATGATATTCGGACAAGAACAGCTTTATTCACAGAACTTGCTCTGGGAAGAAAACTTATTCCATTTGAAAGACAAATGTTCATGTTCCCTCGGGTGTGTGAAGTGTGCAAAATTGATGATCAAAAAATATTAAGAAATTGTGATAGATGTTTGTGTGTAAGTTACTGTTCAGATATTCATCAGACACAAGATATTCAGCATGCAGATAAATGTTCATTATTGAAACTTTGTAAAAAGTTAGATACCTCTGTTAATGACTTAACTTACTTATCATATCTGGATGAGATTTTATCACTTCATTGCTCTTTTACTAGTAAATTAGAAAATATGGAAGAATTATTTAAAAAGTGTAGTTTTCCCACAGAAAAGAACAATGTACAAATACAGAAAATTCTTTGTTCAGAATTAGTTTCATGCCCCTTAACTCTGCTGTATTTTCTTCAGCACATAGAAAGACAATACTGCATCAAAGATGAATTAATAGTACATATTGTGGGAGCCAGTAATTTAGAATGTGGTGTTGCCAAAGTGTGGAATATCATCCCACATTGGTTGAACAAAGTTCACAAACTTCACATTGTATTTATAGGTCCTAATGTTGTGCACCAAGAAAATACTTTCAGTTCTTGCTATACTAATGGGAAAGAAAATAAGATAAAAATGGAGTTGGAATTTCACAAAACCTTATATCACAATTACATTCAGTCTGAAGGACATACACACCCACAAATCATTGTAGCCTTCAACTGTGGTTTACACGAATATGAAGGAAGTGGTAATGATACATGGAAATCTACTTTGCCATGCTTTTTTAAACTTCCAGATTTACATATCATCATTACATCATATACCAAATCTGAAGCTGTTAAAGATCGTGACATACTCATGTCTTTCAGTGACAAGGCTGACATTTTGTTTGATTGTATTGATAATCCCTTCAGTAGTAATCGACCTCATAGAGATTGGGATAATATGAGATCTGATGTGTTTTTTATTAACAGATATGCTTCTGTTGTACATGTAAATTAGTAATTGGAACATAGTGCTTTTAGAACCAAAGTTCAATGATGTGAAGTAGAAAAGAATCTTGAAATTATAATTTCTGATGTGATGGAATTATTCTTGTGGTTACAATATGGTACCTGATGTGAATGAAGTGTATTTTTTATTATGGTAAATTCAGAACTAAAACTTTTGGTGTATTCTTTAACATCACAATTTTATTTATAAAACATACATTGAACCAATTTAAATGAAACTAATTTTAACAGGCTTTTAAATTTTTTATTATGATTGAAAAGTTTTTTGTAAACAAATTGTGTTAAATTTTAATGGCAATATGTAGTTTAAAACATAACAAATTCATTTTCAGAATCATTTGTAGAGTATTTGTTCAGAGTTCTTGTTTGACAAATGTCTAGAAAATGTAGGGTTCCTCAGTAAATTTATTTTTTAGGCTGCCTCTAGTAAAAGCATTTACTTTAAGTCATGCACATTGTGCTAAAAGTTCAATGTTTATCACTACTTCTAGAATTCAAACAATGCTCAAATGTTGATAAAACTATGAATGCAACAAAGAAAATGAAACTTACCTCTGTCTGCATCAGTTACTAATGACCATAATGTACCAGTTAACAGCACATAATTTAGTGATTTATAATCTTGAATTAAAATGAAATTAAAGTCAGTAAGGCTGTCTAAAAGTTAGTGTCTGGGACGTGGTAAAAGTTTTTTTTTTTTTAATCTTATTTTACTTATAAGATTGTGCAACTCAGCATATTAGCCAGGTCATTCCACATTAAATCAACAGTCATTTTACATCACCATCTCAGCATCAAGCAGTGCATTTTGAAAAAACTCAAAATCAAAATTTTTAATTCAGATTTGAAAAACTTTTGAAACATAACCCCTGTTGAGTTGTATATCATTTAATTGTCATAAAAAAAGCTGGAAAATGACACATTTTCCAGGTCTCTATCTTAATTTGGAGAGGTTCTACACCAATTAAAACTTTTCAGGGAACCCAATATCGTTAAACTTAACATCGCTGTATTTCACAAACAAGTAGAAATATTTTATTCAAAATTTGTTGTTGTTTTATTCTTTATTCATACTACCTGTGTGTCAAATTTCATCTGAATCTGAGATGGTGAGGTAAAATTTTAATAAAAACCATGTTGATTTAATATGTAACCCATCCTTGTATCGCAATCTTTCCTACTCACAAAATAAAATGCCACTTGTACCCCTTGTTTCATAAATAACTATTATTATATCATAAAAGCTTTTCATGAAATGTGATTTTTAAAAAAGAAAGAAAAAAATAACTTTTTTCATTAACATATTCTACAAAACAAAGAACTTGGTTTATTATATTGTTTTCAGATTAACATGACTTGGGCTTAAATGTTTATGCCAATGTGAAATACCAAATTTCAGTAAATATTTTAAAAACATTCAGAAGAATGCAGTTAAATCTTCAAATATCGGCTGACAATAAAGACTAGTATTTAAGCATCTCTAAGTACAGGAAAATAGGAAAAGGGTTCTCTCAGAATTATAAAATCAGAAGTTCACAATGTGATTTGAGAGGTCTCTTCATTTTGTGAAGCAGGAAGAACTGATTTAAGTCTTCATATAGTTAACTAATTCTGTGAATCTGTTATTCTGTGATTTCTGCTTTATTTGTACACATTTTTCTGAGCAACTCATTATGTAGGCCTAGTGTTCAAGGCAATAAAAGAAAAATACATCAATTCAAGGGAAATCATAGTCTTAACAGCTTGATGTTCTCTATTAAAATCGTTTCACTGATAGAAGAAGTTAAGAAAAGGGAAATAATACCAACTTTGAAATTAATTAAATGCATTATGAATTTAAAATGTCCAATATAATTCAGTTTAACCCTGGCAATTGCAATTTTATTATTCCTCGAATATGCAAAATTGCATTGTACTATAAATAAGCATCTAGGAACCCCAATTTGATTAGAAACATACTTTCTCCCTATGCAAAAGAAACATGCAATTGCATTAAAATCCAAGCCTTAGTAAAGATCAATTATAATTCTTAGCTTTTGTGTGAAGTGATTTTCAATGTGACAAACCTGAGATGCTTTGCGTCATTGAGTTTTTTAGTATAAAGTAATCAAAAGGACATTTTGCTTTAATAAAAACTTAAACTCATATTGAAAATTTGATAATACTGTAATATATATCTCATTATTATAGCAGAATGTGTCAAATAACTGTCATTTGACATTTCAAAATCCACTGCATAGGTTTTTTAAATGTAATACAGTGATTTGTGTATTAAGTGCAAACAAATACAATATTGTTATTATTTTGTTAATTATGAAATATACTATTTTATTTTCTTGTTATTGTAAGCTAGTTATAAGAAATCAAAATGTATAATGATGCATGTGTTTTAGAGCTAAGTATTTTAAATTAATTTTGAGCTTATTCAAAAACCAAGTTTGTGAAATTTAGCTTATTTTTTGCCTCCCTACCCCCTGTGTGCTACAACATTTAATACATACAACCCCCCCATCACCCTAGATCAACATTTCATTTTAAATTCTTCTCCACTTTGAGAAGCAAATAAATGTATTTCCACTCAAAAATGAATCAAATTTTATATATACTAAAACAGTTTTTCAAATGAATAACCAAGATTTCTTTTTTTTAAGAATTTGAACTTTCATTTATAATTTTATGTAAATAATATAGTGATTTGATAGTAATATAGTATATAATGAAAATATTGGAAGAATATTCAGTTCATCAGTTCATATTCAGTTCATCTTATTTTCCCCTAGTTAATTTTCATCATAGTTGTTGGAACCTCCCCAAAACAGATTTTTTTTAAATTCCTTAGTGTAAAATATTTTTGTTTTACACAAAATCTTTCAAAATTATTAATAGATCAGGATACTACATTGTAAAAGCATTACAATTTATACATACAATTAATTTTACATTAATTGTGGGTGGGGTGTGTGATAGCCCAAGGAGAAAGTGTTCATAAATTTTTAATTTTAAACAAAAGTAATGGAAAATTACTCATTCTTATTCCTTGAAATACAGAAATAAAATGCTTTAATTCAAAGAAAATTATCTCTTAGTAAGAGATAAGGATCAAAACAAAATTATACATTTTTTACAAACTCATCCTAAATGTTCTTTTAAGTTCTTTTTATTGATAGTATATTTTGATTCTGATTTTGGCGTTTGTATTCCTTGTTCTGGAACACCTATTGAGTCATTATCATCCTGGAGTCTGGCAATAATGAACTGTAGTTTTATAAAATAGTGGATACCACGTGACATTGTTATTGAATACATGTGTGTAAATTTTCATGTGGGTTTCACTCCTCATTTCAAGAAGGTAACAAGCAGTTTTGAAGAAAAGGATGCAGTTGCATCATAGTACGTTTTTACTTTCTTGCCTTATGAAGTTCTTCGTAGGAAGAGTAAGTTATATGATTGTGCACTGGAAAACAGAAAATTTTTATTGAAACGTGATGTGAGCAAAAATCTTTATTTTTGAAAAGAACTCACTGGGTTATAACATTGTCTTTTTTCTTCAATGATGAAAACAACACCGAAGTACTTTTGTGTAATTAATATTATGAATTAGGTAGGTATTAAAAATAAAAGTACAACCAAACACTAAAATTTGAGGCTATTATATGTAATATGTGGAACGTTAAGAATCATTAGTGATAAATAAATTTCAACTTGTTCAATATATTGAAAATAAAGTTAGAAGAAATGAATATTTTTTATAGTTCAGTATTATTATTACACATGAATTTCAAGAGAAGATCAGTTAATGGTTTTACCTTGAAAATAGTGTGTCAAGGAATAAAAATGCTTGTGTTAGTTGAATTAGAAGACTATGTTTATATTTCTAGTACCAGTACATCTCAACAGAAGTGGTCTAAAACTAAGGTTTGATTAGCTAGTTCCATTGAAGTACAAATTTCATGAACCCATCAGGGGTCATAACATAGGTTCATGAAACAGGATTTCCCTTTTCAATGAACCTATGTTTTTACAAAATGAGAGGTAAAATATGTAAATTAATGTGTTGATTTTTATGTGGGCAATGTATTATATTTTCAATTATTATATTATTGTATTTGTATTTTTATTACTGACAATAAATTTAATGTTTTCAATGTAAGATACAAAAGTGTCATATTTATAATTTTTAATTTAACATTTCATTATATAAAATATTAATGTTCCTGATTAATTTTTATACTATACATTTTTGTACTAAATTGTCTTCTACCAGGAAACTCAGTAGTGAAAATTGTGCCACTTGGTATAAATTGTATAACCACTAGCTAATGAATTGACTAGTAGTGCATATGGTGTTGCATGTGGATTTTCCATTGTGTAAGAGAAAAATGATAATTTATATTTAAGAAAATGAAAGTCACGTTAGGTACATGTGTCAATTGTTTTATATTTGCTAGATGTTGCGGCAAGGTCATTTAGAATATATTATTTGGCCTAATTGGAGTTAAATGCACCACAAAATTCTTGAAGGATAATTCAATGACAGCACTACTAGAGGAGAATTTTTGATACCAATGGGGGAAGTTGTGAATGAATACAGACATGCTTTTGACAGATTATTGAAATATATGCTGCATAATTAGTAATCAATTCCAGTGCTTTTTTAAAGTATAAGTATTTGTTGGACTCTGTGTTACTAAGCGGTTTTTAATAATTGAAGACAAAGGCTGAGTCGCTGGAATTTATCCAAAATTTGGTGTCAAACCTTTTGAGGCTTTACAACATATAAGATCCCGTGACCTAAAAGCATCCAGTAGATTTGAGCAAAGAAGTTTTAATGAGAGATTTAGTGTCATCTCTAGATGAAGTTAAAGTCATTAAGCTCAATCTTAAAGACTGGCATCGAAAGAAACAAAGAAATGGATTCCTACTGCATCAATATTAATTGAATTTGAAGGAGAATTTCTATTGAAACAAATGTTATGTAGGGTAAAATACTCGGTTGCTCTCTAAGTTAAGAATTCAACTAGATGTTATAATTATTTTAAATTTTTTGGCATCTGGCTAAAGATAGTCATAATAAATAAAAGTGTTTGATGTGAGGAGGATAAAAGTGTAAAGCTTAATGTAAGTAGGACCATTTTCCTAAATGTGAAAATTTAAGGAGGACCATAAATCAATTAACAGAGCATGTTCTACGTTCAAGAAAAGCAAACTAGGAATGAGAAAATGGCATTTGAGAATATTTCATAATTTGAAGCTTGTCAAAAGTTTCTGGGAGGATATAAGCTCTGAGAAGAGAAAAGGTTGACTTCATGATTATTCAAGAGAATGATATCTTAAACAAAGAATCAAAACAAACAAATATAGAACAAAGATAACTTAAAATCATGAAGATAGCAAACTGAAGGGGTTGATGCAGGGTTTCAAATTATCTGGAGGAGAAGCTGTGAGGAGTGCAATGTGGAATGGAACTAGGACGAACATTTTTTTAGTGATAGAACATAAAATTTAGAGGTGTGCATCTGGAAATAAAAGTTCATGAGTTATGGACAGAATTAACTATACCTACAGAATGGCAAGTGGGGATGGTAATGAATTTACACAAAAAAAAGCCCATAAATGAAATGCAAAAATTATAGCGCTATCACAATGCAAGCAGCAGGATACAAAATATTGGCAAATATTTTGAAAGACCAGTTAGAGAAATATAGAGAAAAGTGTTCCAAAAAGTTGTGAGCACATTGTGGAAAAGTTCAGTTTCTTTCTCCACTTTTTTCACTACCCTTTGCTTAGCTACACGCAGGTGTCTTAAGGGGCAAATCACTGTACTAAAAAATAAATAATGTGCAGCCTTGATACCTAAATAATTATTGTTAACAATAATTCGTGTAAAAAATCTGTTATTTCTTCTATGTCATCAGCTAATGTTTCTTCGAGTGATATCCCTATACTGTATGCTCTTTTAATTTATAAAAGTTCTGTCAAAACCATATTTAGCTTAAAAAAGTTAAATTAAAGGGAGAACACTTCTATAACAAGTAATTCTAATGAATTCCTTTTTGCATGTTGAATACAAATCTTCTGACTTCATTCTTTCTTTAAAGTTATTTTACTTGCCGAAGTAGGTTGAAGAAAGAGTAGGATGCATTGATGAGCTGGAATGCAGAGAACCATACATTTAAAGCCTGTTTTGTAAACTTTTATTATTGTTAGTGGAAGTGAAATAAAAATACTCACTGATAAGAAAGTAGCTCTTGAAAATGTATAAAATACTCCTCCATGGAAGGCAAGTGTTTTCTGAGTTCGAAGTATAATAAACAAAATTCTGTTTTTAAATTCTTTTGATCCATCGTACCAAGAGCAGCTGTATGCTGCTAAACACACTTCCTCATTCTGCACATATAATGTAGGCTATTTAGTATAAGAATGTTTGGCTGATTATGTTCAATTTTGTTTGTCCTTTGAAGTATTACCTTCTCAATAACATTATGCCCGAACCAACAATATAAAAGTATCTCAGAGAACATGACACAAAAGTAACCTCCAAATTTTACTGTGGCTGCATGATCTTCTCCAGAACTCTGTAAACATTTTTTACAACATCAATTAACTGTATCGAGACATTGTCTTCTCTCTTTTCTCTCAGATTTTCCTTTGCCTTTATTTTACTGTCATTCTTTTCATTGCATTTTCTATTATTTTATATTTTAGATTCTGTTTTCCTCACTTTCCCATTTTTTTCTTTAACTATTTTGTCTCTACCTCTCATTCTCCCTCCATATCTCTATCTTTATTTCTATCTACTCATAATTAGGTCATTAAAATCAACAAAATGCAGTGATAGAATTGAACTGATAGCCACTAAATGTTACTTCAAAGTTAAATAGAATTTCCAGTTAGTGTACAAAAAATTTTGCTTCTGTCTATCTATGCTTAATGATGACCACATTTAAGACATTTTGCCGTCTACAGAACTAATTTCTGTGTTCCATACACTAAAATCATGAAGTTGTCCTTTACATTTTAAGCTAACATTTGATTGAGAACTTACTGATGCAATGGCATACAATGTCATACAAATGACTAATGTAGATGCAAAAAATTGTATTAGAACGGGAATGGATATTACAGATTGAAAGTCTTGGACACATCTGAAAACAAATATTTCTATTGTAAACATATGTAAACAAATATTGAACTATTTATTTAAAATTTATATTTGATTCAAAATATACTTTCAAACTTGTTAAGCTAACCTAATTATTTTTTGGTGGTATACAATGGAATCTTCTAAATTTGCTTCCATTTTCATTTCTTCATTTCTTGCAAAATATTTGTCATTTGAAATACCATGCTGGTTGGGTTTCAACGTCCTTTCTTGGAGAGAATTTTGTTCTTGGATTGAAATAAGATCTGAAGCTAATATTTCCAATTGAGAAGCTATGAACATCATAATACTTGCAAAAAACGTATCTATGCATGATGTTGTGATGTACAAGTAATAGATGGAGATCACCTATCAAAGAAAATTCATTATTAGAAATGTATGAAACAATATTATATGCCCATGACCAGGGGGTACTAGCTAAAGCTGAAGATTAATTTCAAAAAGCAACGCACAGGCTAAACAGAATAGCAAAAGAATACAAAATGAAAATATCAATAGGAAAACTAAGGCAATAGGAATAGCAGAGAAGATTACTGCAAAGTAAAAATTGTAATAGAAAATCAGATAATTGAACAAATGACAACCTTCACGTATCTAGGCTACACGATATCACCAAGAAAGGAAGACATTGAAACAAAAGCAAAAACTTAATAAGAAAACTGTGAATTGGGTGCAGCAAAAACATTGATATTTCATCTAGAAACATTTATGACATATAACAAACATTTGATGAAATTATGCAGCACTGAACTTCCTGAGAAAATGTTCTATCCTAACAATGGCACTACAAAATGATTTTAAAAAGAAACTGATTAGCTGCAGCAAAATTCATGGTAGCACTGAGATCAAAATTGTGAAAAGGTACTAAAAACCAATAACATAGATGGAACCATAGGAGCTTATCAAAACATATACTGCCATGTAAGCCAAAAAAATGAAGAGTATGTGGAAGACTTGAACTAAGATAGCAAGATCAGAAACTCCACAGTGACTATGTATATACTGACTCAAAGGACCAGGCCATACAGAACTAAACTTTAATTGTTAATAATGATAAAAATATTTTAGTGTCACATTTACGTTTAAATATTATACATACAAATTTCATTGACTATACAAGCATTCAAACATTGTTTATCTTAAAAAAATAAAACTAAACTAAAACTTTTTTTTTTTTTTTGGACATGACAACTGGGCAAATCTACCTCATATTTTTGTGAACCATTCTAAAATACTTTTGAGAACTACTTTTGTACTCATGAACCATCAGTGGTTTAAAATAGAACACATGAATTTGACATAAGAATCAAAACCACTAGAAATTAAAAACAATGTATTAGAAAATTGTCTAAAATTAATAAGTTTAGGAAATTATTTAAACATTATAAGATTTTACTTAATATTTCATTACAATTGAGTTAAATAGAGTCATTCCTCCAAAAAGTACTTTACAAATCTTCAACTTTGAACATCTTGAATATGAGTAGTTTAATATATACATGTAAACAGTTTTGTTCACTAAAATATGTTTCAAATACTGTGTGCTGTTAGACTTTCTGTAAACTTTATGTTTATTATATGATGGGTAGGTTAAGAGCTATAAAAATCTTGGGACATTATCGTCATGACAATGAATACTCAGATATTTCAGAGCTTTGATACGAAAAAATTAATGACGATATTTGTATGAAAAATTGTTCCCATAAAAATATGTGGGATTTTGAGCACTACATATTGTTTTTTAAGTAATTTAGTTTCATGCAAATATATATCATATTTTTTGAAAAAATATATGTCTTTTGTATCACATTTCTTTCAAAATTATTGTAACATTTAAACACTACTGTTCTAAGAGAATTTCCATACCATATAAGCCATTAGATTTTTCATAAATTCTAATTTTTGAATAGTACCCATTAGAATGTCAGATCAGGCTTTATAGCTGAATTAATAAAATACAATTTATTAGAACAGTTTTTGTCCTGTGACAAAATATGATACTATATTCTCTAGTAAATCAAATTTCCTTCTAGAGATCATCTCTTTTCAACTTCTAGAGATATCAGTAAGCAAATTATTTAATAAATGTTTGGTGTAATTCATTTCTCTTATTTATAAAGTACGGAAAAAAAATATACTATAACACTACAAAACTATAAAAAAATATAGAAAGGGGATAAAACAAATTTAAATCACTGACGAATATCACTTACATCAATCATTTCAAAGTACTATATATAAAAAGTAGTTTTTTCTAATATCAAAGATTTCTTGAATGACAATCATTTGACACCTGATGGTCAACATGTTTTTCTTCATCACAGACCTACAGTGAAAAAACTTATGATGTGTTCAATGCATTGAACAAAGGAGCTTGCTAAAGGACAATCAATTGATATCATTTAGTATTTGGATTATGAAAAGATTTTGATAAGGTCCCACATAACAAACAAAACAAATAAATAAAATTAATGACTATTGGAGAATTAGTGACACAATTAAACAAACCCTTAAAACACTTACACAAAAACATTATAATATTATCTAAATAATGTGTTTTAAAATATGCATTTAAAACAGTGTGGAGTTTTGTCGCAGACATTAAATAATTATTTAGGGGATTCAAGTGCACATTTCAGGTGTGTTAGGGGAGAGATGGGGTATTCTAAACACTCCAAATTTGCATAACGTAATTTATGGATGGCCCGTATGTATGCTTTGTAATTTATATTGTATATTGTTTTTATTTATTCAGTTCATTACAATTAACAAGAAGCAATCTACTATTTAAAACTATAATACACAAACAGACTTCTTTGTTTAGATGTTCAAAACAATAGAATATCTTACCTGAATAATGAAGGCATATGTATAGCCAGGATTTGTGTAAATATTGAATGGATACCAGGCTACTGCTGGAAAAATAGGTTCAGGGCATGCTTGGGGAAGTGTGTAATTGTCATTGCCATGAACTGATATATGGCTATTACTGAATATTTTATTGTTGTTTAGATGAGCTTCTGTAATATTCAATCTTAAATTATCTTCGGGAACAATCTTTTTTGAATTTTTGGTTATTTCAGATAATAGTTCTGAAAAAAAAATTAAAACACGTGTATTTACATTGGATGAAAAGTGTACACATATTTTTCATTTTACAGATAAAGATATTTTAAGTTAAGTACACATTTATTTATTTATTTATTTAGTTAATCAATTTTAGAGTTATGTACATTTAGAAGTTTCTCAGGCATATATTCTATTCAAAGAATAATATGCAATGGATATCTCGAGCTGAATCTGAAGTTTATTAACATTTATTATCTTTTCAGCCAATTACCTTTTATAAGCACTCATTATACCAATTGAAATTTGCATTGAAAGTATCATCTTCAAACATTTTACTTTCTCATACGCTAGCATGTTTGAGTAAAGAGAAAACTCAATGTTAAGGTTTTGATGGAAATACTGAACGTTTTGGGGGCCTTTGATAAAAAAAAGAGGGCCAGAGATCACAAAAACCTGTATTTCCTTTGAAATCTCGGCATCAATTTTTCGTAGAAGTACAAAACTTACCTTCTCTACTAGGTACTACGTTTTACGACCGCGTAAAAATACGAAAACTATTGTTTCTTTAAAACGACTCAACTTCTATAATTTTTTACTCGAAAACAACAAAATTCGCCCAATAAAGTGGCAAATGTATGATTTCATTAAAACTTCTCGAATTTCGAAAATTTAAGAAGTTCAACATTTTTTCGGCCCCTCCTTTCACTACATTGTTAAAAACTGAGCTTTTCTTCTTAATGTCCCGTCGAGGCGAATCGGTCGCCTCCTGGCGGGGAGTGCAGAGGAGACCCTCGTGCGCTCCTTCCTCCATCGCCCATTTTCTTTCTTTCCATTCCATTCTTTTATCACCGTTCTTATTTTCTTCCTCACTTGCCTTCTCTGAATGCTTAACGTCGGTGGCGTTGCTTCAGTTGGTGTCGCCCCGAGCAACACTAACGGTATCACTCCCTCCGTACATTAAATAAAAAAATCTATTATTGAATAGTTTATACGTTATTTAATAAAAATACAAGTGTACAGTATACAGGTTTTGTTAGCATTACCTCTTATTTCCATCAACAGTTCACCCATTAAGATAAAGTAATCGTCGAAATCGAAACTCTGACCATTGAAGAAAAGGTGCTTATCGTTTATAGTTTCGCGTTTTAGTTCACATTATTTCTTTATTAGTCTTAATGATATAAATAAAAAACTATTAAATTAGTAATTTGTTATACATTTTAAAATTCATCATTAGAATTATATAATTGCAACTATAAAATTTTCTAATTGGTGTCACCACTAAAATGATGTTGAACCGCCCCCCCACCCCACCCCCTAACTACACCGCTGCTCAACGCCCAT